CGAACAGAGGAGCTACAACACATTATTAACATTAAGGTGGGATATCTCAGCTATTTCGCGAAATTTCGAGTTCTATTTTCAATCAATTTCTATTTATCAAGAGATATAAAACTTGTAAAAGTATGCTCAAAATTACAACACTCCTAGTCGGTGTTGCACTTTCTATGTCATTTAGTAGATATACGAGTGCGACTGCGGGAGCAGTGATCAGCGTTGCAGCTGCCCACCTCATGAAAAAACGAAGTAAATGAAGCTGTACAAGAATTTGGTGTCCAAAATTGATTAGAGAGAGAGACCGGCAGGTAAAAGAACCGACGAAATGTCATGTTGCAGATTAGATAGTTCTTAGTGTGCATTCCACGTTTGCTCGCTATCGGCCGTATTCACCAATTCGGAGTTTGCCAGACTGTTACTTATCAGCCGTACAAAATATAACAGTCTGTTAAACAATAGTGGTATTCACCAAGACTTTTCGGCTTCTGATAACAAACTGACTGTCATACAAAAACCTTAAATTTCTTTAAGTTGGTACCTCTTGATAAACAACGAGAGAACGACATCTAACCCCACTTTAAAGCTGCTGTGTGTTGTCATGTGGCTGTCATTCACAGTTTTGTAGTAGGTTTGCATCATGGAAAAGTCGGAGAAAAAAAGATCAGCTAACTACACATCAAGGGAAAAAGAGACAATACTTTCCTTGGTTGAAAAATATCAAGGTATAATTGAAAACAAAAAGACTAACTTTATATTCAACAAACAAAAAAATGAGTGTTGGGAGAAGCTTGCGTGGGAATATATATATTTATATATATATAATATATAATATAATTTATTTTGTAAAGATTTTGCATATATTAATGGGATGATTCAGCCGGTGTAAAGAAGTCCAGCGCTTTTATGCTGAAGTCTTGTGATGTTATATTTAAGTTACATTTCTATGGTTTATAAATAAGTTGCAATACAAGGCTGATGACATAACTTCAAGTTATATTTAATAAAAGTGTGAAGTATTTACTACTAAGAATTATTTCTGTTCCCATGTAGATACAACTTATAGGCAAAATTCAAGTTATCCGTATCGAAAGTAAGATACTTAAAATTTCCATAAGAATTTTATTTTAAACAGGTAGACACTTTGAATACATGACGTAAATCTTTACATTATAATTAATTTTTTCATGGCAACGTAAAAATTGCTGAAATTATTGAGTCTCTGGTTGCAGTATTTTGATATCCAATTCGGACCTGGATCTCGTCAATTTGTTCCATTTCAGGTCCATTCTCAAAAAAATCGATAGTGTCATTTTGTTCTAGGCACATGTTGTGCAGCACAGCAGTTGCCACAATAACCTCACACATGGTTTCAAGTTTTAGCCTCAAACCTAGTGACAGGCATGGGAATCTTCTTTTCCATACACCAAACAATCTTTCTACTGGGTTTCTGGTTTTAATTTGGGCATTATTGTACCGCTGTTGTGGTAACGTTTGAGGGTCTTGTAAGGGTGTTAATAAATACACTCTACAAGGATAACCTCCATCTCCAACCAGACAGTAGGGTGAAAATTCATTATTTTCAAAACGACCTCTTATGTTTGAGTCATTGAATATTGTTGTGTCATGAACTGAACCAGGCCAACGTGCAACTATGTCCATTATTTTCAAATCGAAACTACCTATTATTTGTGTATTAATACTGAAATAACTTTTTCTGTTTCGAAATACTTCTGCGTTTTCACCTCCAGGTGACTGAATTTTGATGTGGGTGCAATCCACTGCTCCTAAAACAACATTGATATTTAGTTCATTGAAAATACATCTAAAATAATAATCATAGAACGAAAATAGTAGCGAACGTTACCTATAATTCCAGGCAATTGTGCTAGATACGAGTATAAAACCCAAGAACAACTGCCCTCCTTTGATCTTCTGTTTCTGGCATTGTAATAAATTGTGGCCGCAATGCAGCAATGTGTCTTGTTATTTTCTTTACTATTCTGGAAACGGTAGGCTGAGATACATTGAAAAGGTCAGCAAAATTAATCTGGAAAGAACCTGTAGCAAAAAATCGAAGACATATCAAGATTTGGTTTGCTTTTGAGATTGGCTGGTTCCTTTCATTTATCGGTTCTATAACATTTTGCAATACATTTTCCAGTCGCCTAAATGTATTTTTATTTGTTCTAAATCTTCTTTTGAACTCCAAATCATCTAGTTCAATCAAGGGAAACCTCCTAGTTCTTACAATTCTTTCTCTCGGGATATCTTCAATGTCACTCGTGTCTGTTTCCGAAGATTCTAATATGTCGATAATATCAATTCTACTGAGGCTATCCATTTTGATACTAATACAAAACAAGCCCCTACTCGCTGTCCGCTGACTGTATTTTGTAAATCACTTCTACGAAATCTCCAGGCAAAGTCGGGATGACACTTTTGACGTTTTAGAATTAAACAGTCAGTTAGTGGTTTACCAGTCCAACATCGCGCTGTTAACTTATCCATGACTTTAACAGACCGTTTGCTATGGTGAATACTAAAAATGGATTTAACAATGTGTTAAACAATTTAACAGTCTGATAGGGAATGGTGAAAACGGCCGTATGATCGCTGTTTGCTGACGTTTAAGCAATGCGTACAGCTGCAAAACGAGTTCACATCAAGTGTACAACAGTTTGTGTTAAGATAACATCTTGTAGAAAAACCTACGTTATGTCACAAAAACCTACGAAGTGTCAAGAAAAAAATGACTTTTCGAGATACGTAATACCTGTGCCTGGAGTGGATGTACTCCAGATGGTGAATAAAGACCTTCTACTGGAGAATCCACTGGCTGATAGGCCTAACTGGTTCTAAAGTCATTCAGACTTTATCCAACGCTTATTTGGCGTTCCTGTTCTTATAGGCCTTGCATATAAACAATCATATTCAGGTTCTTAAAAAATTTGCTCATACAAAATTGTGTACTAACTTCTTCCTGCACTATCCTTGATTTTGTACCAAATTTAGCGTACTAAATTAAGTATAGAATTTCGTATCGTGACAGACGGTCTTAGTAATTAATTTTTGATAGTCGAGTGTCTTAGTAACAATAAATAATCGACATTTATAAAATTGATTATACAAGTTACACCTTTTAGAATAAAGTCGAAATAAGAACGTGAAATTTTGTAGGAAAAGGACATTTTTAAATTTTGACCACCCTGTGGAAACTAAAAGTATCAAAAAAGTATATTAAGATAGGGATAAGGAAATATTTTACACATATTGCGTTTCATTGTATACGGCGCTTTTTGAAAAGCCACTAGGGAAAGCAAGTGTATAAAGCGGAGGTGTTTAACCCCACCTATCAAAAACCGTTCAGCAGCTATAACACTGTACTGTCGTTAGACACGCACAAATATCGCGTTATTTTGAACAGCTTATGTTGGAATGTTCAATAAAATATGAATGATTCGACTTAAAAACACAACTCTAATATTTGGTTATTTCTGACAACCCAGATCCATATGTAGTGAACTAGTCTATTACGATCATCAATTTCAGTGTATAACATAATTAGGGATTCGTATTTTTGATAAATGGTTAATAATAATAATAATTTATTCGTGTTCGTACACAAAAGTGCTTACATATCTCGAGAAAAGTATCAGCATTTGAGCAATAAAAAGCAACATTAAAAAACGCATGCACTTAAATAAACATAAACAAAATTAAAAACAAACACAAAGTAATAAAATAAATAGGCCACAATTATGAAACAAAGTCGGTAAAATCATCATTTAAAAACTCGTATATGCTGTAAAAAGTTTTCGTCACTAAATATCTTTTCTGTTTGATTGAAAATGGTTGGGTTGACTGACAAAATCTGAGCAGATCATTAGATAATTTTATACTGAAATAATTACTTCCGTGACTGGTTTTTGATAGTCCTGCTAGTGAGTTCTGTAATCATCATAATTATTTTTAACAAAGATCACACAGTCTAGTATATTTCTGTCGTGTGACAGCAGAACCTAGTAAGTCACTTTTTATCAGGTTTGAGAAATAAGATATTTTCAATAAACATTCGGCTTTCGAAAAGTTTAAGTTTTATGAATATTAAAAAAATTGTCTGAAGGGTTATGTAACTTGCTAAATTCGATAGCATCAATTTTATTCATGTGATAGTTTTGTTTATGGTAGAAAAGTGACTTACGTTTTTTTTTTCATGGTTTCTTTTTCGATATTAAATTAAGATACTTTAGCAGAAAATGGTAAGTCAACTTACTGATTTTTACAAAATTTCGACTAGAGAAAATAAAAAAAAAAGATATTGTAAGTGTACTTACTAAGGTTTTATTTGATATAATTTATGTGCGAAGGCGAACACAAAAAGTAACATATCTACTTACTAACTGGAAAATAAACATTTGAATGAAAAACGGTGGAACATAAAACAGCAAGTCTACATACAAGAAGAACAAGAACTTAAGCGCTAAGCCTCTGATACCACACATAAGTCTTTGGAATTATCATTAGATGGCAAAAACTGCCAAAATAGTTTCTTTCTTTCATCTTTGAAGGATGGTACCAATTTTTTTAAAATTGTTTCTCTTTTTTCTGAGTTCAATCCCAGTGGCTCGACAAAAGGATGTATAGGGAATTTGAGATCAACTTTTTTTTTCAAAAACTCGACTTCCTGAAAGACAGTTTCATTATGGCATTCTTTATAAAACAAGTGTCTGCATCCTTTGCGAAACTGAGCGAGCTTAATTTTTTCAAGAAGAGGTATATTATTGCTTTTTCTTTGTTTGCTTCCATCTTCAAAGAGGAAAAAATCAAAATTATTTATAGGCAAACATTTAGTTTTTTTTGAGGACTGCTCAATTATTTTCAGAAGCTGTTCAAAATCATAAATGTTTGGGTGTTTTTTCATTTCTGTGCTGATTCGGCCATGAACCGAATCCGCAGCCATAAATGAATGGCCTGGTTCAAAATATTTTAGGGTGATCTCTTCTGGACCCCATTCTCAATTTACAAAAGTCGCAAAAGCAGAATATAGTGTCCAATTCTTGTTCTGAGCAGAACAGTTGTCTACCCAGAATGTAAATTTTTTGGTAACATTGTCTGAATTTTTTATTACGTTGTAGTATGCCGATGCAACATCCGTCGCGGACCTGCCTCTTATAGCCTCATGCCACATCACGCAAATATTTCCGTCCTTATGAAGTGACGCAAACGTCTCATTGAATACGACCAACCTGCAACAACAAATATAGAAGTATAATACAATTATATATAATTATAAACGAAGTACCTTGAAACAAAAAAAGATTCCTTGGTTGACATTTTGGGCAAGAGTAAGACTTTCTGCATATCTACAGCATAGACCTTCTCATCTTGCATTACCTCTTGATTGGAGTCATTTTCATAGTGCTGTCTTGCTTCCGTATAACTTTTTTTGTGGTTTTCGAATTGACAACAAATCTTGCAACTACTTGCGTCGCATTGGCGAATAATGTGAACTTTATGTTTTAGACACTGAGCGCATTCGTCTTGGGATGGCTTTTTAAACCCAATATTCTGTTTTTCAAAAATTCTTCTGTATAGATCATATGAAATTTTCTGTAGATTACAGAAGTCTTGCCACATGTATTTAATGGTCAAGTCAGGTGGCAAGAATCGTCTATTCGGGGTGTGCTTTAAATTATAGTGAGATACTACCGGATTGAATGAGTTTATATGCTTTATGACAATTTCCTCTGTTCTCATTTTTTGTTCTTCTAGCATGCCTCTAATAACTAACCCCCTTTCATCCACTGTTTGTGCAATTCCTTCTACACTTCGCTTTTTGGAATGTATATGGCAAGTTATCATATCTGTTTTAAGTCCTAAAGTATGCAAAAACATTGTTTTGCACACTTGTATTTTTTCAAATTTAGCTTCAGTTTCCACTGGAAGGGGTAGAAAATATTTCAGAGAAACATTCCTGGAAGAGCGCTGAGCCTCTTGCCGCCTTACTTTGATTTCAAATTGTTTGATATGAGCATCCAAAAAAAGTCTACGCTCGCCAAAGCTGAGTCTCCAGAATTTCGTTCTTATCAATTCTCTAAAGTTCTCATCATTGATTTTTGAGCTACATTTCTGCCTGCAATTATTATGGCATGATAGCAGTAGGGGGTGCTTTTCTTGCTTGTCTGGCCTTTCTTGGGAAACTCTGCAGTTTGCATTCACATTCTCGTTGACTTTTTTCAAAGGCTGCCTGTTTTTGAGGGGCGCAAGCGATACGTCATCAAAGTCCGAAAATTTAATTTTTTTCCTTGTAGGGGATACTGACGGCTCATAATTTGGGTCTGCATCAGAATCGTCATAATCTGATATAGGTTCTTCATCATGTTGCTGACGCTCTTCGAGAGGTTCATTTCTGAAAGATAAAATAAATAGAGGTCAGCGGTTTGAATATATATTTCAAATACGAAAACCGTATTGCAAGAATTAGCTTTTTGTTTGTAGTAATTATAATCTTTTATTTTACTGAAAAAAAAACATCAAACTGCAATGTTACTCCTGAGTTAATATTTCATTTGGCTTATATGTAATGTATGATGCTTGCACTCACCTCTCTGTAATGCATAAACTCGTTATGAATTTTCCTCTCGACATATTCTGGATATTAACTACAGTACTAACGTTAAACTAATTCGCGACTGTCCTCACCGATCCACACTCTATGCCAGTTGGAACATGACTGCGGAAACGCTGTAGCATGCATCCGTGCCTACACTCAATCGGCTTGAAATCATGGCATGAAAATTTAGCAAAAACTAGCAAGTGCGTTTACGACGGAGTCTCCCGCCAAATTTCCTACAAAAAAAAAATCTTCAAAACGTAGCATGTAGACATGCCATCATTTGTTGATTTTTTAAATGCTGTTCTGATGACTTACTAGGAAACATGAGACAAAGATATACGATTTAGAGTGCGTCTGAGCGAGAGAAAAAAATTCAACTAGTAGAACTTTTTACGGGCTTTTCAAAAATGACGTAAAAATGTAAAACCTAGTAAGTCGACTTACTAGGTTCTGCTGTCACACGACAGATTTATGCATAGTACAGTTGCAGTGTTTAGATAAATTAATGCCGTCTTGCAATACTGTCTGAATGTAAGTTTGGTATGTTGTCAAAATGCTGTTGAGAATCGAAGAATACCTGGTCAAAATTATGATTGGGCGATACCGTTGTATCATCCGCAAATATACTAAGTGACATATAAATCCGAACACCCAGTTTAAATGGTTTTATTTTAATAAAATTTTGTATAAGTACTTAATGAAGCATAATAAGTAAATGATAAAAATTTCAAAATGATTGCACTGCTTTAAAGCCCTTTGACCCTTAATAATGTGTGGATGCACCCTGATGTGCTACGCATTCTCCAACGCGCCTAGGCATGCTTCTGATCAGGTGGTCAATGTCCTCCTGTGGTATCTCATTCCAGGCAACCACCAACTCCTCTCGAAGTGCTTCTAGAGTCTGAGGAGGACGTTGCAAATTGAGCAATCTTCTGCCCATCATATCCCACACGTGCTCAATTGGGGATAAGTCGGGAGATTATGTTGAAAGAAGTCTATTGTGACTCTTGCAACATGTGGTCGGGCATTATCTTGTTGGAAAGTTGGATCAGCCAGGGTATCAAGATAGGGTAAAAGATGGGGTTCTAGAACTTCGTGCTGCGCGTTCATGTTACCTCTAATGAAGATTAAAGGTGACCTGGAACCATAAGCTATAGCACCCCAAACCATAACTACAACAGTGTGATGAACATGTCTTTCAACAAAAAACTGTGGATTCCTCCTTTCACCACGTCGCCTTCTAACCCTGGCACGACCATCGTGCATGCCTAAACAAAATCGAGACTCGTCACTAAAGACAATACTGTTCCATTCCTGATCCCAGAGTGACCGTTGTCTGCACCACTCAAGTCGATTACGTCGGTGTTCTCGAGTTAAAGGGAGGACCCAGTGTAGCCGGTATGAAAACAAGCCAAAACTTCTCATTCGTCGGTAAACACTTTGCATGCCAATAGGTCTTCCGTGTTCTGCAAACCATTCATTTGCAATGGACCTGGTAGTGGAGAAACGGTCCCTTAAGGCCAATAATCTTAGGCGGCGATCTTCACGGTCTGTTGTTCTACGGCGGCGTCCAGTGCCCCTTGCTCTTTGCGTACGGCCTTCTCGAAGCCATGCCTGACAACACCTAACCACAGTGTCTACACTTCTTTGCACTCTAACTGCAATTGCCCGAAAAGAAAGTCCAGCTTCCCGAAGTCCCACTATACGGCCCCTATCAAACTCACTAAGTTGACGAAATCGTACAGGTCTCCGTACTCTAGGCATCGTAACCGATCGTAAAAGATGTCAAGAACCAAAATCCGCCAACGTTGATTCTTTACTGCGGCTGAAATATTCATTTTTAGAGCGTTAGTGAATTAAAAAAAAGCAGTATAAAAACCGGAATGTCCAACTGATAAGGCTAAACATTATTTCACTTGTTATTTACAGTAAGATAAATACGTTCACCAACTTTTATTAAAATAAAACCATTTAAACTGGGTGTTCGGATTTATATGTCACTTAGTAAAATATCTATACATTGCATTCTACTGTTCTAGTTTAAGACACTTCCTTGGGAAACTCCGTGGTTAATATGTACACTGTTAGATAAACAATTTTGAACACTAACATACTCTCTTCTTTCTGATAAAATAGGACTATCTATATATTCTCAACCAAGCTCTTGTCTACCCTATTCTACCATATGGTATATCAGCATGAGAAGGACTCATGAACAATCACTATAAAAAGATTGAAATCGTACAAAAGTGGATACTAAAACTGATCCTTCATCAGGAAATTACATATCCAACCGATAACCTTTACTTAGAAGCTCAGCTCGCAGACGTTAGACAAATTTACTTTTACAATGGATTAAAAATAAAATGCATCTGAATCCCATCAATCACCACTATCAAACAAGCTTTAAACAAAATTCAGTATCTGTGCGAAAATCTACAAAAACCGTCGGTCAAAGCCTCATCTCTTTTTAGGTCCAAAATTTTTCAATCATATTCCGACATGAATAAAGGTTATTAAAAAGCTTTAAAAACACATCAAGTCATGGATTATACAGGAACCAAGGAACTAGACGCTAAAAATCGTTAAACTTAAAGCAATTTATGTATATCATGGGTGTATTCATGTTTGAACACATTTAAGGAGAAATGTTCTAAAAACAGTTAATTTTATATAAGAAATTGTCTAAATCTCACACCTAGAAAAATATATTTTTTTACATTTGTACATTATATAAACCTACATTATTTAACGTTTGTGTAGTTACCCATTTGTATTTTTTTCATTCTCGTGTGAGCCGAGCACAAGTTCAAACTTCTTTATCCCAATAAACATTATTATCATTATTATTATTATTGGTTGATTGACTTGACAATAAAAGTAGTACTTGAAACGTGAATGCCTGACATACTTCTTGATTTTTTTATTATTTTACTTAGCTTGAAGATAAGCATTATCAAACTACTTGATACTTGATGGCAAATTATATTTTTGCTTAACTGTCCTAATTCAGTGATTTATTGGTCTAACAGATGAACCATATTTCGTATGTTAATGCAAATAATCACCACTGGAGGAAAATGCATGAACCCAAATGTAATGGCACGAGATTTTTTATCAACACCTGCAACAACAGAGTCCACTGAAAGGAAGTTTTCTGGGGCTCCACTGACCATTATGGAACCCCGCAACAGATTAACCTATGAATGTGTTAGGACCCTCATGTGTCTAAAGTGGTGGCCAGCAAATGAAAAGCTAATTCAGAATTTTTCACTTTTTTGTATTAGTTGAAGAAGAAATATTTTATTTAGTTCTATTTGAGTTTACAGTTTTATCGTCCTTTATTTGTTATACGATGAAGAAAATATTTTGTTCAATATGTATTGATTTCTCTGTAACTTGACACAAAGTCTTTCCGTTGTGATTTTATAATCTACTCGTATTTATATTACAAAAATTATCAACTATACTAAAATTTCCAATCACATTGCTAACATCTAATGCATGACTTGAAATCATGTCAAGTCAAGTAGTGAATCCCTAATCATAATATATGAATAAGTTGGGAACATCATCATTGAGATAACAAATCGAATATTTTGTTGTATCTAGGGTTATTAGTGGAAACAATTCTATAGATATCACTGATCTCCTGTATTATACCCCTCGCCAATATGTGCCTCAGATTATAAAGTTTGCCGAATAATGGCTCACTTCTCAAACTAGGCGGTGGCGTAGCCACTTTGGGTGGCTCCCGGTGCGAGAGTTGGTCTATCCCCCGAACAAGAAGGAATCGATTTCATCTTTCATTAAGGGGTAATATGAGTGGA